TATCAGCTGTGATGTTAAGTCCGCAAAGTAGCCGTTCGAATCTCGTGAGCCACTTTTTCCATCTTGGGCCAGCATTAGAGTCCTCGTGTACATTAAACGGTGGAAAATCTGGGAGCGAAGCCATGGTGAGTTATAAATACTAAAATTCTGCGATATATATTACTTGTCGTGTCTGATCGCGATACGTTGTCTATACTCTTGACAGTGTGTTGTTTTGGGTATACTTCGGCTGGTTCACTTCTTGTATGCTTGTGTGATCGTTGTGGGTTTCGATCGTGTTTCCTTGTCGCCAGATGTAATGTGGTAGTTGAACACTTTTATTGATAACCTCTCGTATACATGCACATGCAAAAAAACTAATCAAAACTATAATCTATTGGCGCCAAAAAGTCTTAGTCTCAGACCCCGCACGCGGTCCACCTGTGCGCCAAGACAACAAAACAACAATGAGCTTATTAACTATATTATAGGAAGTGGTAAAAATAGTGAAGTTACACCACTGTTATATATATGAATAAATATTACAAACGTATGAAAATAGCAGTTGATATATGTCAATAAATTCTCTCAAACCATGTTTAGCTGAGGCATGCCTATGTAGGCATATGATGAGGATTGAGTAGATGCCAATGAAGCTACATTATTCTATACAAGGATCACTGTTTAAATTAATACAATCTGTCATATACACAGCTATACTATTTGGCATTACAACTGTGTCAAATGTTATCGTAATAATGCAAATATTGTCGCGGCAAATTCAAATATGTTTAAGCCAGGTCACATGCTCAAAATTCAGGAATGATGATGGTAAATATTTCGTTTCAAAATTGCTCTATTATATAGAAAACATAACAATATTCTTACCTGTATGTTACTCAGTCATTCCTGGTATTCCATCTTCGTTAAAATACGTTATTTTCATTTAAAATATTCATCTTTCACGCTGATATTAAATTAACTCAAACACTTTTATTGATAACCTCTCGTATACATGCACATGCAAAAAAACTAATCAAAACTATAATCTATTGGCGCCAAAAAGTCTTAGTCTCAGACCCCGCACGCGGTCCACCTGTGCGCCAAGACAACAAAACAACAATGAGCTTATTAACTATATTATAGGAAGTGGTAAAAATAGTGAAGTTACACCACTGTTATATATATGAATAAATATTACAAACGTATGAAAATAGCAGTTGATATATGTCAATAAATTCTCTCAAACCATGTTTAGCTGAGGCATGCCTATGTAGGCATATGATGAGGATTGAGTAGATGCCAATTAAGCTACATTATTCTATACAAGGATCACTGTTTAAATTAATACAATCTGTCATATACACAGCTATACTATTTGGCATTACAACTGTGTCAAATGTTATCGTAATAATGCAAATATTGTCACGGCAAATTCAAATAATTATGTTTAAGCCAGGTCACATGCTCAAAATTCAGGAATGATGATGGTAAATATTTCGTTTCAAAATTGCTCTATTATATAGAAAACATAACAATATTCTTACCTGTATGTTACTCAGTCATTCCTGGTATTCCATCTTCGTTAAAATACGTTATTTTCATTTAAAATATTCATCTTTCACGCTGATATTAAATTAACTCAAATGAAAATTTCAAAAATATGGCGGTCTGATTGAATGACGCTATCCCAGAAAGCTTTGCGCATGTTGTAGGAAAATTAGGCACCAGGCTGTCAAACCGCGCTCGTGGGAATTTAATTAATTTGTGCCAAATTATAAACGTAAGTAGGTCAAAATTGGGGGAATAACTTTAAAAAGAAGGCATATGCAATATTTTAGTTGAAAATAAAATAATTATGTAAAAGTAATGAGGAATTTTAACCTAATAGGAAATGTTTAGTCCCCCCCCCCCCCGCCCCCCATTAACAACAATTTTGGGAAAGTTTACATGGACATTTTTCACTATAATAATAATTTATTCAAATGCATGACCTAATTTACAGGTATTGCTAGAATATTCTATATATATATATATATATATATATAATTACATACAGTACAAGGTATTGAAGAAACGAACATATATAAAGTGAAAGTGTCATTATAGTGATTTATACATCTATTTTATGGATAATATAGATCGTATTCGTAGTTTCTAAGTAAGGGGTTTTTTTTATGAAAGATTGGAAAACAATTTGCAGTGTGATTTTCGCAATGAATTTGAAATTAGCTGCAGTCGTTTTTTATTACGTATTTTCCATGGGTTTGAGGCTATTTTCTCGCTCTGTTAAGCAGAGAGAGATAAATTTAGAGAATAGGTTAATGACAACAATGTCATTTGAGGACATTAGATGTTCTAGTAGTTTTTGTTTAGTCTGAGATGTTGTACTCAATTGGAAAAAATCTTTTAATATGTCATTTGTATTGTTTCTTAAAGTTTCATATGTTTTGCATGCAAAAGCAACATGAAATTCATCTTCTACTTCTCCGGAGTTACAAAGTTTACATAGACGTTGTTCGCGTGGAATGTTTTTGTATCGCCCGTATTCAATTTCGAGTTTGTGATTACTGATTCTAAATTTTGAGAAATTTTTTCTTTGTATTGGGTTTTTTATAAGATGTAGATAGTCTTCTAGTTTATAATCTTTTTTGAATTGACAAAAGAAGAAAACTCAGGAAAATTTCCTCCCTCCCTAATTTGTTTCTCTCCTGTGTGCTCATGTACCAAAACACCTACCTCCACTCCACAAACACCATAAACTTGGGTAAATATAGTTTCCATGAACTCATGCAGAATTTAAAATTAACTCAAACTTTGAAATTTTGACCAGTTAAATAAATATAATATTTTGACCAATTAATATTAATTCTACTACGTCATCAGCTATGGTCGTTCAAGAGTTGCACGAAAGAGTGCGACGCACGCGCAGAAAACCAATTTGTGAACGCCATCGTGTGGAAAACACAGAAAAGTATTTTCGCAGTTTTTTATCCATTTTTAATCCGTTTTAATCCTTTCCATCATTGGTTTTTTGGAATATATCTCTTCGAGAAGAAGAAGAACGGCAAATCAAAAAGACTAGATAAGTACAAAAGTTACGTATAACGTTGTTTTAAAGTTGTTTTTTTAGGCAATCTTTGAAAACAGAAATGGCCGACGGGAGTGCAAAAGCAGGCTTCGGTTTCTACCGATATTATCGGTGACAATAGCTCGCAAAATTCTGATAAGTTGCTTTCCGCCTTAGCTCAAATGCAGACAAGTTTTCAAGAAGCCCTATCAAAGCAAACGAACTCGCTACTCAAGTTTTTTGATGAGGATAAAGGGCAAAAGTCTGCGAGAAAACGTTCCCATACTCAAGATGAGTTGGACGATTCAGACTTTGTCTCTGAGGCTCCAAAGAGAGCAAAACATCCCTCAAAGACAGGGAAAACTTCATCTAGCAATGACCAGGAAGAAAATGAACATCAAAGGTGTCAAAGCCAAGAAACTGACCATGAGGTCGTAGAATTATTTGATTCCGGGGAAAACTCTCAACGAGGCCGCGATGTCGACGACACGCTAAGTCTTTTTGGCGGGCCGGAATTTAATGAGGACGAACAGGACAATGAAAATCTCCTGTCCAATATTGCACAAAGTTTGGTTTCGTCAGAAGATACAGGCCTGCCATTACCCATAAACTTGCGAGCATTGTAAACAAAAATTTTTCTGACAATGTTGATTTAACAAAACTAAAATCCATCTTGAATACACACAAGAAACCGGAAAACTGTACTGAACTTTTCGTTCCTAGAGTTAATACAGAAATCTGGTATAAAATGAAGCCCCATCAAAGGAAGGCTGACATTAAGTTTTCAAACCTTCAAGATACCCTTATCAAAGGCGTCTCAGCCTTGACAACAGCATCAAATGATTTGCTTGTTTGCAGGGAAACAAAAACCCTGCCAAATTATAAAGATCTTCTTTCACAATTACTTGATGCTACTGCATTATTTGGCCATGTTTGCCAAGAATTATCCTTTAAAAGGAAAGAAACTATAAAACCGATACTTCATCCAGATTTTAAATCGGTTTGCTCACGTACCCACAAAGTTGGGAGATTATTATTTGGCGAAGACCTGCCCAAAGTTGTGCAGGACTTACGAGCCTCCACAAAGGTGGTGACACAACTTACCTCTTTTGTACCTCAGGGAAACCAATCTGGTACAAACAAATCATCTTATACTCACTTGCCTAACAACAACAACAAACATTTTTTGTCGCAGAGGGGGAGGAACCAATACCCTCCCCGAAAGCCATATCAACAGAACAAGACATACACAAAGAAATAGACAAAGTATCAACACAGGTAAAAGATTTTCCAAAATTTGTTGATGAACAACTTAAATGTTACCTTGAAAAAGAAGTTTCTAATTTTCAGGCTGGTCAGATCAAAAAATTTTCTCATGAATGGAGTAAAATTACTTCAGACCCAGATATTCTAAGTATGGTCCAAGGTGATCATATCACTTTTGAAGGGCAAGTACCAGTTCAACACAAATCAGTACACTAAACAAAAAGGATGGGAATATACGACTAATTTTAAACTTAAAGAAACTTAATGATTCAGTTGAATACCATCATTTTAAAATGGACAATATTTATACTGTCCTAAAACTGGTCTCCAGAGATTGTTGGATGTCATCCTTAGATTTAAAGGATGCATATTATAGTGTGCCCATACATCCAGAGTCTCAAGAGTTTTCTAAAATTTTACTATAATGGGAATTTGTACAAATTCCAAGTTTTTCCCAATGGGTTATCCTCATGTCCTAGAAGATTCACATAATTGTTGAAACCAGTTTTAGCCACTCTACGACTAGAAGGGCATGTTACAGTTATCTATATAGATGACCTTTTGGTGATTGGAACCACTTATGAGCAATGTGTAAGATCTGTAATCGAATCCTTTAAAATCCTTTTAATCTAGAGAGTTTAGGTTTTGTCATTCACCCAGAGAAGTCATCCTTTGTTCCAAAACAATGCATAACATTTTTAGGTTTTAAAATAAATTCAGTAACTATGACGTTAAGGCTCACTGAAGAAAAAGCCAAAAAATTGATGGATTTGATCACAAAGGCTCTACAATCCCCTAATAATATACAAATTAGGGAGATTGCTCGAATTATTGGTCATATGGTTTCTTCATTTCCTGCCGTAAAATATGGTCCTTTCTATTATAGAAAATTAGAGCATGATAAGACAAGTGCTCTAAAGCAGTCAAAGGGCAATTATGACGGTCACATGAATAGTTCCAAAAACTCAGCGCGAGTTAAATTGGTGGCTTCATAATGTTAATACTAGTTTCAATACCATAGAAATTCCCTCAGTGGATGTAGTGGTCTACTCTGATGCCTCTCTGCAAGGTTGGTGAGCAGCCTTGGGTGAGCAGTCAACTGGGGGAGGTTGGGCACAAAGTGAGAAGAACCACATAAACATCCTTGAATTAAAAGCTGCTCTTTTTGCTTCAAAAATCATTTGCTTCTGAGGTCAAGGGAAAACATGTTAAAATTATGATTGATAACAGCTCCGCGGTATTTATTATCAACAATATGGGTACTAGTCATAACGATACATGTAATTCAATTGCACTTGAGATATGCGAATTTTGTATGCAAAATCAGATTCGGCTTACTGCTACTCATTTGCCGGGGTCATGCAATGTTGTGGCAGGTAGAGAATCTAGAACCCTGTACAAGGATGCAGAGTGGGTGCTAAATCCTAAGGATTTGGCATCAGCATTGGAATAATTGCAGTTTCAGCCTGAAATTTGACTTATTTGCATCTAGACTAAATAAACAATTTAAAAATTATTGTTCATATTGGCCTGACCCTGAAGCATCTCATATTGATGCATTTTTAATATTTTGGGAAAAGTTAAATTTCTATGGTTTTCCTCCTTTTAGTTGTCTTTTAAAGACACTAAGGAAGATTATCCAGGAGAGGGCAAAAGGAATTATTGTAATTCCAAACTGGCCAACGCAAGTATGGTATCCTCTCGTAAAACCTTTGTTATTGAAACCTCCTCAGAGACTCCATCCATCCAAAACATTGCTCCACCTACCAATCAAACATATATAAAGAAATGGGAAACCTTTTGCATCCAAAATGAATGTAGTTTCCTAGATCCTCCTATACCTAAAGCAGTTGTTTTCTGAACAGGATTGTTTTCAGCAAGGATTATCATACACCTCAATAAATACAGCTCGCAGCGCTTTGTCTGCCTTATTGCATCGCAAGGATAATACTATTCCCTTCGGACAGTTACCATTAGTAAAACGATTTATGAAAGGAATCTTTGAACTTTGCCCTAGTTTTCCAAGGTACGAAGCTGTCTGGGATGTAAATAAAGTCTTTGACTATTTTAGACAGAAATGTAATGTCTCGGATTTATCACTTAAAGAGCTTTCTGAAAGGTTGACAACTTTGTTACTACTCCTAAGTGGACAACGATCTCAAACAATACACTTATTATCTATCGCAAGTATGGAGCTTTCTCCAACCCGATGTGTTTTTCAAGTGAAAGAAAAAGTGAAACAATCTCGAGTAGGTTACCATATTGCTCCTATAGTGTATGAAGAATATCCGAAAGAACCAGCCCTCTGTATTTTAATGCACATCAAGGAATATATTAAGCGTACACAGAAGCTTCGCGATCCGGAACTTTCTCAACTATTAATTAGTTATGTTAAACCAAATAAGCCAGTGTCTCGAGAAACTATTGCTCGCTGGTGTAAGAATGTACTTAAATCAGCAGGAATTGATACCAAAAGATTCAGCTGTCATAGTACTCGGGCGGTATCTACTTCATTAGCAGCAGAAAAATCGGGCGATATTGACAAAATCATTAGCTCGGTTGGCTGGTCAAACGCTAAAACTTTTCAGACATTTTATAAGAAACCTGTGGAACAAACCTTTAACTTGGGTACGATCATTTTGAACTCATTAAATTAACTGTTAGATGTTATACATTGTAATGTTGTTTTACAAATACATATTTTTGTTGTAGTTGGTTTTAATTTGGGAACTTTAGTTTTCTCTGACTCCATTACTGCTGTGAAATCTCGTGCAACTCTTGAACGACCATAGCTGATGACGTAGTAGAATTTAAAAATTAAACGAAACTTACCTGTAAAGTGAAGTTTGATTGTAATTCTCCAAGTCATCAGCGGGGAGTGAAAGAGTTGCAGGCCCTGCCCAATGATTTTCCCACCCAACTCTTTCACTCCTGCTAATGGAGTCTTGTCTACTGTGAAGTCTGGTTTTCTGCGCGTGCGTCGCACTCTCTCCTGCAACTCTTTCACTCCCCGCTGATGACTTGTAGAATTACAATCAAACTTCACCTTACAGGTAAGTTTCGTTTAATTTTTAAATTAAATGTCAAAAAAAAAATTAATTGCGACCTAAAAAAGTGGTTGTTTCAACCAATCCGTTTTTACGGCGAGGTAACTGGATTATGTATGATCCTCTATATAGAATATAGTGGTGAAGTCAGCCAGACAATTTGTTCGTGCTACATAAATATTTCTGTGAAAACAATAAATTTCTAAAGAAAGAATTATATGATATTTATTTGAAATTTGCATGGCATGACCAAATTGTCGCGGGCTGGCATGACCAAATTGTCGCGGGCTGGCTTTGTCCACAGGGCCACAGGTACTACTTTGTAATTATGGAAACTAAAGTGTATTTTAAAAAATTTTAACAAAACTATAGTTTTCATAGAACTATGGTGTATTGGTAAAAACTATAGTTTTCATAAAACTATATATAGTCCTTTAGTTATGAAAACTATAATAGTTTACTGGTAGTCTGGTACAGAACTATAGTTCTCATAGAAAAATATTGTATATTGGTAAAACCATAGTTTTCATAAAATTATAGTGTATTGGAAAAGAACTATATAGTTTTCATAAAACTATAGTGTATTAGTAAAGAACTATAGTTTTTATAAAAATATAGTGTATTGGTAAAGAACTATAGTTTTCATAGCTAGCTAGAACTATATTGTATTGGTATAAAAACCATAGTTTGCATGTCATAAAACTATTAATAGTGTATTGGTAAAGAACTATATAGCTAGTTTTCATAAAACTATAGTGTATTGGTAAAGGACTATAGTTTTCATAAAACTATAGTGTATTCGTAATTAAAGAACTATAGTTTTCATTAAACTATAGCTCTTCAATACACTATAGTTTTATGAAAACTATAGTTCTTTAAAAGAACTATAGTTTTCATAAAACTATAGTGTATTGGTAAGGAAGTATAGTTTTCATAAAACTATAGTGTATTGGTAAAGACTGACTATAGTTTTCATAAAACTATAGTGTGTTCGTAAAGAACAATAGTTTTCATTAAACTATCAGTATGTTGGTAAAGAACAATAGTTTTCATAAAATTATAGTGTACTGGTAAAGAACTATAGTTTTCATAAAACTATAGTCCTTTAGTTATGAAACTAAAATATATGCTAGTGGTAAAAACTATAGTTGTCTAAACTCAACTATAGTTTTCAAAAAAATATAGTTCCCTTGGGTTATAAAACTATAGTTTATTGGAAAAAAACTATAGTTATTTTGAAGTTAACTATAGTTTTTTTTGGAAACTATAGTATTCTACCAAAAACTATAGTTTTTCACCAAAAACTATAGTTTTCCTCCAAAAAACTATAGTTTTTCGTGAAAAACTATAGTTTATTTTTGTAAGGGGAACGACGCATTGAAACTATTTTCTGACATTCTTCAATTGGTAAATGACTGTTAACAAAATTGATAAAGGTGTGAAGTTGGGTTTTATTAATTTAGTTGTATTAGGAAGACGTACTTGTGCACACCATGCACAAATGTAAATAGAGGAGTCATAGTGTCTATATGAAAGTGTGGCTCAAATTGATATTTTTAATAAAAGTGATTTATGAAACTTTTAGCTGATACCATGGTGCCTTTTCAGGCACTTCATCCTCTAATCAACATTCTTAAGATGGTTGCACAAAAAAGCAGACACAGCCAAAATTAATTGTTGAATATTGTTACTGCAATATATAGCGTTATATATAGTGCTGTTCATGAAGAACACTATACAGAATCAAATATATATTATACAAATACCTCAACCTGATGAGTGGTGTTATTGCTTTTCAACTTCGAGATCACACACGTTATGCATGTGATCTAAATAAGCATGTGTCTGCATTAAGCAGCTTGATGCAGTCTACAGATGCTTAACTCTTTTAAAGCACGGCCATTAAACTTAGTACTTAGTACGTGCACGTACTAAGTATGTTTCATTCATATCTTCGGTTCAGTAAACGTTATGTAGATGAAAATACCACCATTCAATACCACCATTGACGTCATCCCGGCTAAAGGAGCTCTTATTGGCCAAGTATTATGCAATACACACGCGTGCGAGTAAAACCCGGTACCTTGAAAAATTCAAAATAAATATTTCTACTCGCCGTATTCATACGAAACTTTCTACACGAAAGCGCTTGAATATAAAGAGTATTTTACACAAATATCCTTTCAGAAAATGACGCCAAATTTTAGAATATATTCAACTTTTTCTCGTTTGAATGTTTGGCGAAGCGGTGAGTATAAATATATGATTGTTTTGGTTTGTGTAATGTTTTGACGGCACTTGACCCCCCGTTCGAAAGGTTATATTGTGAGGATTTCAATGGTGGCATTTATTTAAAAGGGGAGGGTAAATACTCGCCGAGATATTTATATTAGAAAAATTGAATCGAAATGTGTAATGCGAAACCGGCCTGTCGAGAAAGAGTTAAGTCTCTAGGACATGTTTAAAGCGCGATATATTGGCTCGTATCCTTGCATGAGACCTTGCGAAAAGAGCTGAGAATACGCAGCCAAATTTATCTTCCAGAAACAGCAGTTGTAAATGTTTCTAAAACAGTTACTACACTGAAAATGCACTGACTAGGTCAATTGCACAAGGTCGATTGCAGGGTTCGTAGTTAAAGCAGTCCGTTAATATTGTGGAATGTGTATCGGAGAGAAGTCCCAACGATTTAGGTACACTTTGTCTTTGAAATATAGACATCATACAATTAACTTCATAGTTATCATCTGAATCCTCTATATTGCCTAACTCCTCAATAAGGTCTTCCCAGCAGTCCTTGTGGGTAAGTAGTTCAAGTAACGTGCACGCAAAACGCTTCGGAACGCTTCTATTGGCACGACTGTAAACAACTTTCTCAATATCAACCACACCATACTACAGAAGAATTACAGTCTGCCTTATATCTGGGCCTCCTTCTTAAAACCAAGTTAACCAACAAAACTAAAAAAAAACAACTATTGTTACAATAGTGAAAAAGGAGTCAGTCTTCCTTTGGTTTTTTTGCTGGCACTTCTTCTTGTGCTGAGACACTGCCATCAAGTGGTGGGAAAAAAATATTGTCTGCATCACCCAGTAATGACAGAATATCGTCATCTTCTGCTGAAATGGGCAAGGCAAATTCAATAAGTTTTCGACACAAATCCAACCTCAGTGAAAATTTGCTGTTGAGAGCAGATATGACGTCTGCTTGCATGATTTTCAGCTGAGGACTTGTCCACTTGAACAAATTTGAATAACCTTTATTTGGATAAACAAAGAATAGTGTGAGCATTTATGTTCATGGCACATGGGTGGCACACTAGCAACTATGTTGATGGGTGCACGGGTGGCGCACATAACAGACACCAGAGCACCCCCAACTAGATCATGCTTTTTTGTGAAAAGAAGTTTGGTATTAGGTGTTGAGTCCTACTACAAACACACAATATTGGGTAGTTTTAGGTTAGGATAAATACTTAGTCGCTAGTCTTGCTAGACTACTTTGTTTGATGTTTTTTATGTTACTCTGAGTGTATATCCACACCGGGCAGGTTGAAAAATTAGCCTGACCACAGTGGGAATCAAACCCGCAACCTTTGGGATACTATATTCACCTGAGTACATAATAACATCAAAACACACACAAAAATACTGCATTTGAATTGTAATTGTTTGTTCACAGGCCAGCTTATCATCATGTTATTATCACTCAATCTCATTTTGTCTCTAATATTTTCTTGCTTTATAGGACGTTATTGGGTTAAAGTTTGGTTGTTATTTTCAACATTTCTGATGGGTGCATTGCAGACCAAAGGGTTAATTTTAAAGACTGAATTTAGGGCAGAAATACTTACACTGGTGTTAGCTTAAACCATCTATTATCCTCCAGTAGGATCATGCAGCTGTTATTCAAAGTTGCACGCTCTGTCAGGAACATGGTTGAGCAGGTTGGGCACGTTATCAGATTACCTTCTACCGAGTTGGGACTAATGGTTTTTCTGCAGCTGAGGCAGGAAAGTGTGCATTGGAACTCTTTCACAGCATGAATGGAAGTGTTCAGAGACACCACATTGCTAGGTCGAGATAGTTGCCTTTTGACATTTCTAACCGCCATGTTGGCCATTTGGTCATCCACTTTGGATATGGCAGTTTCAAAAGTCATTGTCAAAGTGAATATATTGTTAAACTTCGAGACGACATTTTCCAGACAGAGGACATCTCCTTCATTAAAAGTGACGCTTTCTGCTCTTTCTCGCCACAAAACGAGTTCAATATGTCCCATGCTGTCTGCAAGCGAAATACTTTGTCTTAATTTGTTGTTTGGGAACAAACCCACCTGATAGGGTTCCTCGATACTTATCACCTTCACCTTTAATTTCAAAAACTTTTGGCTTTTAATAGCTTCCCCTCTCAGTATTTCTGATATACTGAATACTTTTTCTTCTATCTTTGGCTGTGGACATCAGTTGTTATTTTGGTATCCTGATCGATCAACAACTCTGCAAAATTGCTTTGTCCATACAACCTTTTCAATTTGAACGATTCGATGGCATAGCTTTTTTTCACATCAAACCGAGAAAACAATTCTTCCTGGATAGGAAATTCCTATAGGAAATCTATTCCTATAGGATCCTATAGGAATTCCTATAGGAAATTAGGAAATCCTATAGGATTTTTTTGTAAGGGTATTGTGGTTTGAAATAAGTGTATTGATTTAATGCGCTTGATTGCCGCATGCAAATTCTCAAAAAGTCCGCATTTGAGTTCTAAAGCTTTTAAAATTCCTATAGGAATTCTATTCCTATAGGATCCTATAGGAATTCCTATAGGAAATGGCATTTCCTAGCATTTCCTATAGGAATTCATATAGGATCCTATTGATTTAATGCACTTGATTTGATTTAATGCGCTTGATTGCCGCATGCGAATTCTCAAAAAGTCCACATTTGAGTTCTAAAGCTTTTAAAATGCTTTTTGTATTGGGTTTTATATCCCCATAAAACTTTAAATCGATAAGGCAGATGGTAATGTTGATGTAACCTCATTTTCTAGTAACTACATGTTGAGTCAGAAGGAAAAGATATCAAAATAGGTCGCGAGAGTTGTTTGCAAAATGTCGCTTCTCTCTGGAATAGCTTCCTTTGCAGAAAGCCATGAAACTGAAGTCCTAACAAAAACATAATTTAGCCGTCGTTTTGGGCCCATTGCTCGCTTATTTATCACGAAATCGCTTCACTAGAATATTTTTAATAATGTCTATGGGAAACTATGTAATTTTGTGAACTAAAAGTTTATAGTTTTGAGGTGTTTATTTTATAAAATAGCACGCACAACAAAATGGCACTAATGTGGTTTCTCACGTCTGACAGACAACCAAAGATGAAAGTTCTTATTTCACCCTTTTATAGCTATGTGGAATACCTGAATATTAGGTTATCTTTTTCATGTGAGCATATAGCTAACATTGCTACACAATAGTCCTTATCAAGGCTTATTTCAAACTAAAAAAAGCGATTGTTTTTCAGAGCCAGATTCAAAAGAGAGTGTGTGTCTGACATTTTATAGCCTCCTACATTGGCACACAAAATAATTTTGGCTAAAAACCGTTGCTTTTCCAACAAAAACATGAGAAAATTGAGCTAAAAGTCTTACCTGATTTAGGTTTAAAATGTTTTTCTTTTTTATGGTGTTTTTCAGTGCTTTGAGTAGAGAGGTTAATAATGCATGTATCTAAGGGCCATTCATTTTTCGAGACTCTGAAAAACGAAAATTAGTCGTCAAACTCGTGTTTTCATTTTTCGATTTTGAAAAATATTCTAGAAAACAAAACAGGACAGATCATAAATTGATGAAGTTACTGCTGAGAGATTGGCTCAAATGTTCAAGGTAAGTGATGAATAATTTATAAAAAATTTGATGACGTCTTTCCCTTTTAATTACCCTGGGAGCAAAGTCCTCTTGTATTTCTTCTTGGCACGGCACGGAGAAGCGAGAGGAAAGAAATACGAGAAGATTTTGCTCACAGGGTAGCTTTTAATATTCTTGGTGAGTGGTTCTCGTGACCTTGTCTACTTTATATTTATATTCTTTGAAATTTAGCTTGAAATAGCGGAAATACACATCGTAGACGAGTTCTCAGGAGCAATAGAGTGGCCAAAACCGAGATGGCCGTTTCGACTTGGCTGATTGCAGGCACGAGTCATATATGAAAGTTCAAGGGTGTAAGAAACATGGTGCTGGCTCATTACTTAGAGGATTGCAGTCTTTTTCCTATCAGAATTTTGCCAGTCCCAGTACAAGTACAACAGGATACTCTCCAATGTTCAGGTTTGTCTTTAATAATTAAACAAGTATAGCTGTCTAGTTTAGGCAATGACAAGTGGTGGGGTTGGGGTATGTGAGATTGTTGAATATTCTAATTTGTGCCAAATGCTTACACTCATTCTCATCATTTTTCTCGCCAAAGATACGGTGGTGGCTCAGGAATGAGCACACCACAGCTAACCGCTGTGTATTGATCTGTGGGCGGCAATGCGGCCGACACGTTTCAGCAAGACAGTAATGGCCTGGCACGGCCCTACCTCTATCAGATCACAGGTGACTTGGACCCTTGCTTCTGAATGTCCTAGCTATATGTTCTTTTTGTTCTAACCTACTATTAATAATCGAGAAACACTATACTCAAATTGGTTACAGTTGCGGTAGGGGTTGCAGTGTAACAAAAGACTAAGCTGCAGAGCTTCCCCATTGACGGGTAAAATTGTCTGGCATTAGAGAAGTAAAAAAAATATGTGGGCGCACTTGGAGCACATTGAAGCTCCATGGGTTAATTGATAATGTCATTCTTTCTGTAGAATATAATAATAAAGTTTCAGAATTTTCCCTTGTTTATATTAAATAGTGTACATCTTAGAGCAGAACTGACATACAAAGTTATTTATGGTACTATAATGGTTTTCAAATAAAAAGAAATATACATTACAGTACAGTAATTATTACATAAAGTAATTTCACATAAATTAAAACGACAACAAATTCCTGTTCATATAGGTCAGTTTTGCAAACAAAGAAAAAGTGTAACAGCTATTGTCTTAAAGTTACACTAGCTAAGAAGAGTGGAATAAAGTAACAGATTATTCAAGACAAACTTATGTCACCATTAATGATGTGACAGCAACTGTTCCACACATGACAGCTCAATGCAAAGAGCAGTTCCAGAACAACTTATTGATCCTTGTGTCTGGAAATGGCTTGCCTATTGAAGATAATGATGCTACAAAAGGTACATTCAACACTAATTATGTTGACTGTTTCAAAATATATGTACATAGTAATATGCAATGGCAGCTAGATCTTATATGATTTAGCATCTGTGGCTCCATGCCATTCAGGTATTTATGGATAGGTGCAATTGGGAATAGAATAAGAATATCATTTACTATAGAATACTTGATTTTGGGTATTTTGGACATAGTTTCGATCATGCTCTGATCTTTAGGGGGTGTCCAACATTATTATAAAGGGGGAATTTTCATACCCCTGCATGGCATATACATCACCAGTACTGTACATTCTTTATCTCAACATATTAGGACTAGCATTTTGGAAAGCTAATTCTCGTAAAGTCTTTGCTGTTCCTGTGTCAATAAAGAAGGATCGCAGTGTTGTAAATTTGGTTGACGATGATTCCCTTGATTCAGATGATTATGAAAATGCAGCAGCTGTTGATGTTAATTCAGGTAATAATGTGAGATCTGACAATCATATAAATACAAGATAAATAATATGCAAGTCAGAGGAAATACCTTGGGTAGAATATAGATAGAAGGGATTTATGTAACCTAAAGACCTGAGCAATATCAAACCCATTAAATTAAGCTGTTGATGTTAAGTCAGGTAATAATGTGAGATCTGACAATCATATAAATACAAGAAAAATAATATGCAAGTCAGAGGAAATACCTTGGGTAGAATATAGATAGAAGGGATTTATGTAACCTAAAGACCTGAGCAATATCAAACCCATTAAATTAAGCTGTTGATGTTAAGTCAGGTAATAATGTGAGATCTGACAATCATATAAATACAAGAAAAATAATATGCAAGTCAGAGGAAATACCTTGGGTAGAATATAGATAGAAGGGATTTATGTAACCTAAAGACCTGAGCAATATCAAACCCATTAAATTAAGCTGTTGATGTTAAGTCAGGTAATAATGTGAGATCTGACAATCATATAAATACAAGAAAAATAATATGCAAGTCAGAGGAAATACCTTGGGTAGAATATAGATAGAAGGGATTTATGTAACCTAAAGACCTGAGCAATATCAAACCCATTAAATTAAGCTGTTGATGTTAAGTCAGGTAATAATGTGAGATCTGACAATCATATAAATACAAGAAAAATAATATGCAAGTCAGAGGAAATACCTTGGGTAGAATATAGATAGAAGGGATTTATGTAACCTAAAGACCTGAGCAATATCAAACCCATTAAATTAAGCTGTTGATGTTAAGTCAGGTAATAATGTGAGATCTGACAATCATATAAATACAAGAAAAATAATATGCAAGTCAGAGGAAATACCTTGGGTAGAATATAGATAGAAGGGATT